CTCTAAAGTGCTCATTCATACAGTAGCCTAACGTCCCTATCCATGAGTAAAATATTAATCAGATTTGCGTATATAGAAGTAATAAGCTTGATACACTATATGAATAAACACACTCTTATTAAAATTCAACCAATTTAATAATAATCTGGATCAAGCCACCAAGTTCTTAAAGAAGTCCAGCACAGAGAGAGCACCAAAGAAATATTAACACATTATATAAATGCATCAGTTTGGCAGGTCTGGACGCAGAATGGACCACATCAGGTCCTGATTCTGCAGACAGAGAAACACACATGAGCACATCGCTCTTAAACACTGCAGGTTGTTCACCAGTTCACGAGCTGTGAAACAACAGCACGGCTCTGTTGGTAAATAAAAAGGAAAAGTTACGTTGCGTTCTCTGGCGGACCTGGATCAGCTGTTAGCTGTTTACAGGGCTAACGCTAACGCTGCTATCTGACTGTGTTTTAATGTTTTAATGACCGGGTCCATTTGTTTTGGATAGGAGACGACCTTGGAAGTAATTCGGCTCCCGGTAGAACTCTGTCAGGGCTCTGAAGTGGACCCAGAACAACTCTCATCAGCTGTTAGCTGTAAACACTAGCAGGACTAAAGTTACTGCGGCTGTTATAACTATAACTTAGCACAACATCACCTGCTCCACAGTAGGAGCTGTCACGTGACAAATGAACGACTCAAACCTAGAGACCCACAGTTGCTATGAGTCGTGAACTGATCAGTTCTGTTTCCTGTGCTGCCTGCTTACCACAGCCCTGTAGCCGAGCTGTCACGTGACAAATGAACGACTCAAACAGACCCACAGTCGTGAACTAATCAATTCTGTTTCCTGTGCTGACAGAGCCCATGCAGCTGCTGTGTGACGAGTGAACGTAAGAGTCAAAGATTCTTCACGCATGCGTGAAAATTAACAAATTACTCACTGAGACTACCCGTTCCTCCCAAGTCATACACACAATTAGGTCTTATGAACGACACAATGCTACCCTCTACTAATGGGAATGAGGGTAAAATTGTATATGTGCAGCTGGTATAGCCGTTTCAAATGTTATCGACCAAGTGGATCACATTCTGATAGTAAAACGAGTTGGCGTAGGCTACGGGGCTATGCCGTCGCCTTACGTGCACCTCTTCCTTTTTTTATTTATTTATTATCTTTATTTCATCTCTAACACACTTTAAAAGCAAGACAAAAATGTATAAAATGACAAAATATAACATGACATAACTAAAGAACAAATGTATTATAGAAAAATATTTAAATCTTTACATATTTTAACTGTTTTGACTGCTTTTTCATTCTTTAAACCAAATATTAATGTAATGTTTAATTTCTATCTGTCACTAACATTATATCATTTTTAACCCAGCTATTAAAAAATAAAGTTTTATTTTTAAATCTGATATTTTTTTATCTGATATACTTTATTATTCCAAATTAAACATTTATGGGGTGAAAAGTTATGTTTATAAATAATTAACCTGGATAATAATGCTTGTTTATGATAACTGGAACAGGAATCTTATGTCAAAATTGCATTGCAGGAGGAATTCAATACCACCTAGTTTTTCAAAAATAAATTCTGGAATAATGTACCATAGTTTATCCTTTCCTTGGATGTAATGTTTAATCCACTGTGTCATAATGCAAAAACTTGAGGACTCAAAGGCAGACTCGGGAACAGTTCGAAGGGGTAACAAAAGGGTTTTATTGATAGGTCCAACAGGGCAGAATGGAGAACACGGAGGAGGGGAGTTAGTCCAGGCAAGATAGGTGCAGAACAGGGTGTGGCGTTCAGCAGGATTCCCGGAGGTAGTGTGATCCTGGGCACAGAGAAAAACAGGTTAGTCCAGGGAGAGACAGAAATTACAGGGAATCTTACAGGAGCAGATAGTTGGCCTTGACGCATGTACCACATGTAGTTAACTGACAATCTGGCGAAGAATGTGAGGAGGACTGGGTTGACATACTACAGAAGCTTGATTAGTGGAATGAGAGCCAGGTGCGCTGCTGGAGCCAGGGAGTGTAGCCACGCCCAGACAGACACAGACAGAAAACACAGGTAAGGGGGGAACAAAAGAACACAAGGTAGTGGGGAGATTCTGTAGCACCACAACAACTTGACCTTGAATATAGTGTTGGATGTATGAAAACCGAATACATTTAGACCCCCTTCGCAATATGTGTTGCATAAAACCTTCTTTTTTAAATAATAGGGTTTATTTCTCCAGACAAAATTGAAAAGCAACGTGTCAATCTGTTTGACTAGTACTGGTGGGACATCTAGGACCATTGCTGTATAGACCAGCCTTGATAGTCCTTCACTTTTAGATAACAATACACATCCATTTAATGACAGATATCCAATTGACTATCAAATTTGTTTTTTACTTTTTCAATCAATGGATTGAAATTCAAATGCACCCGTCTTTCTTGATTTTTGCATATTTTAATACCCAGATATGATACAATATCTTTTATAGGGATACCACATGTCAACCAAATAATGTCCTTTATTTTTTAAGGCAAAAAGCTCACATTTTTTTATATTTAAAGTTAGACCTGATACCAAAGAGAATACATTCTTCATTCTGTAAAAAAATTGTTGTATAAACTGGTTGTAATCAACTAAGTCTAAAATTAGACGAATATTATTACTTATATGCCTTCCACACATAAAACCAGATTGAATCATCAATGATTGTATTGAGGCATAAACACAATCTCTGAGCAAATATTAGAGCAAATAATTTGGCATCATTGTTTATTAAGGTTATAGGCCTCCAATTTTCAATCATCAATAAGTCTTTATCTGGCATAGGTATTAAGGAAATTAGCCCTTGAGACAAGGTTGGAGGTAGCTTCCCAACCTCAATTGCTTCCTTAAATACAATTAAAATAAATTCTGCAAGGTTATCTTGAAACACTTTATAGAACTCACTTGTTAGTCCGTCATTTCCAGAGGATTTATTATCTTTTAACTTAACTATATTACTTTTTATTTCTTCTAAAGTTATATTCTGGTCACACATCTTATTGGATTCCTCGTCTATTGATTTTGCACTATCCCTTATGGAAGAGAAGAAAGACGTATCATTATTATCACTCCCTTTGGTATATAATTTTTTATGTCTTCAATGGAGTTCCAGTCTCCTCCCATAGTTAATTTTGCCTTAGGAAAGGATCTTAGGAATGTTGAAATTTCCTCTTCAAACTCTTGGAAAAGACTTCTATTCCTAGAGCTAATATTTGTGGCATAAATATTACCTAAAATGAAAATAATGTCATTGAGCTCTACAACTAACAATAACCATCTGCCAAAAAGAAGAGCTTTACTCTTCAGGATTCTACCCTTAAAGTTTCCTATCATTATGGCAACACTTGCAGACCTATTGCTACCATAAGACATCCAAATATTATCACCCCATTGGTTCTTCCAGAAATTATAATCAGAATTTGAAGCATGTGTTTCTTGTAAAAAAATGAAAATCAGCTTTAAATTTCTTACAAAATAAAAAAAACAGCCTTTCTTTTCAACAAGTCTGATACCCCGCACATTGAATGAACATATTGATAAAGAAATATCTACTGGTAAAGATAATTCTTACTCTCAACAGTAAATAGAAAGCGGAGAACATTGTCAACACGTGTCAACAAAGTGTCCATAACTATACCTGTCCATATTCACGCTGCTCATAAGTGATGGTTTAGTATTCAATGTTCAGCTTTATGAGGTTGCAATATTGTTCTGCGACATCTTTAAGACCGCAGCTCTTTCCCATCAATTATCGCTTTGGCTCCGATAAAGAAAGCTTTTTTTCCTTCTTTGCGTGCCGCCTCAATTTGGGGCCACAACCTGTTGCGAGATTCTTTGTCTTTTGTCGTCAGATCTTCACCAAACTGCAAATTCCTGGACAGGAGAGACAGGGATCCCTTTGCATTTTTCCATACCAGTTCTTTGATCTGGAGATGAATCTTGTTATCACTGGTCGAATTTTGTCACCGTTCTTTCTTCCAACTCTTGCTTCCTCTAACCCACTCTTGCTGACATCAACATGGAAGCAAAGACTGTCACCAATCTCTGGAACGATGGCACGACAGATATCGATCATACGCTGATTGTCATCTTCACCTTCCTGTTCCTGTAATCCATAGAGCCTCAGGTTCCATCTTCTCTGATAGCGCTCAGCCTGATTCACCTTGGCTTCAAGCCCGGCGATCCTCGTCTTCACTGTTGTGACATCTGCTTTCATATCTTGGAGCTCTTTGAATAGAAACTCCAAATTTTATTTCAAGGTGTTAATACTTTCTGAATTTTGTCTGATCAACTTTTCCAGATCATCCGCTTTCTTTTCTAGACCGTCAGCTCTTTCATTTATTTTTTCCACCAGCAGCCTTACGATGTTGTCTTGCATTTCGGCAAGTGTTGGCTCAGATTTACCTTTCTTAGGAGCAGGAGAACTCGGAGAGTCAGGAATCGGCACATGTTCAGGACTTTCTTGGGATGCATAAAAATGCATATCTACAGTGGTTACTTCCATTTCCGGACCAAAAGGGATAGTTTGTTTTGTCCTTTCCCAAGTTTCTTCCTCTTTTTTCAGACATTGTCGTGTTCTCCTTTGCATCCGTGAAAACAAATACTAGGCAAGCTAGCTAGCTAGTCCAAAATAGCGTTAGCCAAAAGTATCTCCGGCCATAAATAAAAAAACAGTGGCTCTTGTATTTTCAGTTTTTACGCAGTATTACATTACTGTTTGTGGTCAGGAGATAAGCAAAGTACTGTTAACAGGTGTGACAATCAAAAAAAATTCTTCAGCTACGAGTGAAGCTGTCAAGAGCCGCTGCCATCTTTCACGGATATGGTACCTACAGATGGCTACGGTAGAAACATGACGACAAAATACAGCAACCTCCACAGCAGGGGGTGCCCGCGGTTATGTAGATATAAATGTCTCATTCTAAGGTAATAAAAACACAACAGTTCATTATGTAAGGGGTTTATACACCACTGAAAACATAGTTATGGATCTTATATTGCATTTCTGTCAATATTACACACTGGACCTTTTAATTTATTACAATTACATTTATCAATACTACTTATAGCCATTTGATTATAAATACCTCTGAACTATCATGTTCCTGTATCCATGCAACTTTCTAGAACCGGAGAGAAAGAACATTGATATCGAGGAACGATATCTTCCAGTGGTCTACAATTAGTAAACTACTTGTTCTAAATGGCACACTGCCATCAACAATAAGGACTGCCTGACCTGCAGCCTGTCCTCCCCTCTTGTGTCTCTGCAGAGGGCCTCCACTCCAAGCACACACACGCACACGCACACACAGAGAGAGCGAAGTCAGCCATCAGATCAGTGAAGATTACTCAAGTTGACGACAACTATGCTCGTTATTGTAACTACATGCAATAAAACCTTCTTGAGTATAAAGCCAATACTTCTATCAATTCACCAATTTAATAAGCATAAACATGTAGGAAGCAATATTTTTATCTGCCCAGTCTCTCATTCACTGCAGCTGTGGTTTACACAAACAGTGCTAGCTCGACTAATAACTAATTATTTGTGTAGCTTTGTTTGCCACATAAATTAAAATCTGGCACATAGTTATAAACTCAGCTTCTGGCTGATTTAGGAAAAAGGCCATTAGAGATTAACCGTTCCTAACTTGTGATAGGAAAAATTATTACACAAGCATACTAACTTTCTCTTATGCTGTCCCAACATTCACTTTCAATTTACACCCAGCTGATAAAAACTGTCAAACCATAAACAAAAACAGTTAAAGCATGGACAGATGAGCTCTACAGGTTGATTTCAGTTCAGCATTCAACACAATCCCACCCCATGACTGGCAATCTTAGTACTCTGGGCTTGAGTACAACACTCTACAAGTGCAAATTGGACTTCCTCACAAACAGACCCCAGACAGTTCTGTTTGGTGGTCAAACCTCATCTACTCTCGTGCTAAACAACACTGGAGCCCCCCAGGGCTGTATGCTCAGCTCCCTCCTGTTCATGCTGTACACCCATAACTGCAACCCCTGACATGGAAAGTTCTTAGAAGGAAACCATCAATCTTGCAGAGTAGCGCATAGAAAACAGCCTACTGCTAAACATCTACAAAACCAAGGAGCTGAAAAAGGAGGCAGCCCCTGTCTACCTTAGTGGACCTGTGGTGGAGTTGGTGAATAGTTTAAGGTTCCTGGGAATCAGCATCACAGAGAACTTGGTTGAGAGAGAGACAGAGAGAGAGAGAAGTAGAGAGAGCGCAATGCAATATCAATATTATACCATCATGATTTTAAAATCAGAAATAATCACAGCAGTCTGCCACAAAATCCTATTTGCAAATGCAAAGGAGCTCCACATAGTTATACACCAATCATTTTGTCATTACAAGGTCAACACTGCATGTCATCAAACAACAGTGAAGACAGAGAATAGAGAGTTGTTTACTATTAACCTAATTTTACATGGCAATGGAAAATTTGTTTAAATTAAGAGACTATACAACAAGTCAATGTCCTATTGGGTGCTGTTGAAATTATTCAGACTAACAATAGCACAGGCCTTTAAATTATGTTTGATTGACTTTGAACCCATACTGTCTATTCCTTAGAGTTCGTGGACAGGACTGTGAGGCTCAGGGAGCTTCTGAATGTCACTGTTTTGAATCAGAGTGAAGTAAAAGACAACAAGTTCCTCGTAGTTCTTTTTGGAAATCCTTTCATTGATGCCATGGAATCTAGGAAAGAAAAAAAATGTTTACTTTGTGGTATCTAAGAAGACATTGTTTCCTTCCTTAGATTCCCTCTTACTGTTTTTGCAGCATAATGCAATTTGGGCAAAAGGTTGATTCTATTGTCACATTCCATGGAAAACGTTCCCTTGGAGGGCAAAAAAGATGTTATTTTCTGCTGCCCGCCAACCAGGAAGCAAGTGATACACTGTTACTATGAGTTTTTTTACTTTTGCGTTGCCAAAATGCTGGATGGTAGCCTACTTGTACTTTCTGATGCACAAATCGAGGAAGAGACAAGCCTGAGTTGTGTCAGGTGAGGGATTCCCCACAAGGTAAACATAAACATTACCGCAGTTGAGCGGCGGCAGGGACCTGCTGCTTTTTAACGATAGAAATGCGGCAGCGGATGCTGTAACATGGATGCAAAGTGCCCAACACAGTTTGTGTTCATATCTTTCTTTTTCTTAAGTTGAGAGGTGATCCAAATAAATGTAACTGCTTTTGCTGTTGTGTTTGTCTGTTGTTTTGCCCTCCAGGTACAGCGAATGTCACGTGACTGAAAACTATGAATACATAAAACTCTTCTTACTATATTTGTTCAAGAAGAGCTTTAAGTTTGAACAATACGTAACTAGGTCACACTGGGATCAGAAGTTTTGAAAGGCGTGACCAATAACAGAAAGCTCTCTTTTGTTCAAGAAGTTGCTCTCTCGTTCTAACCAGATATTACTGTGTACAAGCAGTTTATTAGAATGATGATTACTATTTTTATTCAGTGTTAAACATAGATAGACTTACCTCTGAGCATCACCTGGTTTAAACCACACAGGGGCAAAGCGATAAATATCATTGGTTAGGTCTCTGAAGTGTCGACTGTCTGTGTTCCCAATACAGATACCTGCACATTCAAATGTTATTTCAACACACTTGCGGAAAATTTTGACTTTAATAACCACATTTTTACAATACAGTTAAATCCATATGGATTCTACCTGGAGCAACCGTAACTGTTGGAAAGATTTCCAACACACTTTTCTTAATGACCTGGAAGCCAAAGGACTTTTCATCAGCAGAGCTGACAGGCAGAGGGTCAAATCCATTAAGAAGCTCTATCTTCACACGTTGGTCCCCTACTGTAGACTGGATGAGTTCCAAGACCTAGGAAAGCACACATCTTATTCAAGTCAGAATATTAATGAGGAGATGTCAGGAATTCTCAGAAAGGAGAAACAAATGTCTGGCTCTACCTCTTGTAATGACTGTGCTGAGTGGATTCGTAGATTTACGTAAGCTTCAGCGAGGGAAGGGATGACATTGACCTACAGGGAGGGAAAGAATTTAAGATTTTTCTAATGAAATCTAATTTCCTGTGAATTACCTTTGTTTTCATAATTAGCAACTCTACCTTCACTCCTGCATTAAACATGGTGACTGCTGTAGTTGTCCTTACAAAAGCATTAGTATCTGGTTTTCTTTCAAGTATCCTGCAACATAAAACATAGTTATTTTTTGTAATCGACACGATCAGAAGAAAACATGCCAAATTAATTTTAGGATATAATTACCTGCCAAGGAGTGAGGAGAACAGCCACAAATTCGACATTATGAACCTCATTGGGAGCCTGAACTGAAGTCAAAGAATGGGTAATTGAGTAAAAACAAGGAGAGATCTAACATGGGACTAGTTGTGGTGAGTAGGGATGTGGGAGCCATGCAAGTCACTGAATTTTTCACAACACAGTCCTGTAAATGTTCCATAATAAAAGGGAATGAAGGGATTCTGTCCAGTGAAATGCTAGAGGGCTTCTAATTTGAAACAGATACAGGAAGTGTTAAACTTTAAAAGCATAATGCAGTAACAAAATTTAACAGGGGAGACTAACTCACCTGAAGAAACTGCCCAACAGCCATAAGGTCTTGACAGCCATGTTTTTACTAACAGTGGAACGTTGTACTCAGGTGGACAGTTTACTCGCCTCAACCCAGTTGATGGAAGCACACCAAATTGGCATTTTATTTGTTGCAACATTTCTAACTTTGATTTAAAATTTCCTTGATTGTTGGCGATTATGCAAAATGGTCGAGGTCAGTTCAAATAATCACAGTCAGGAGATTATGTAATAATTGCAATGGGCTTAGTAATGAGTACTGGACAAGTAGTTGGTTCCTCTTACCTTATGGGCCAGGTGCTCAAAGATTCCACGTTCAGGCCCATGACCAAATAATCTCGGCATGGGGTTCTCCTCTAGTCTGAGGAAATCAGAGTCAAATTTGGCTTTTTGTTGATAAAAATGTAGAATGTAGTTAAACATATAGTACAACATGAACACAGACACTACCAGAATTTATCATAGGGAAATTAAACAAGCTAAAAATCTAAATTTGAGAAAAATGTTCCTCACCTTTTGACTGCTGCAGCCAATATCCCAATGGTGGTCTCACTGGGAGGCATTGAGGAATGACCAGGGACCATAGATACACTAAGCTTTACCGTGGCAGAACCCTTTTCACTTATCCCAATTCTACAAAAAACACACACACAGAATTTACAACAAATTTCGATCAATCACGTGTATTTTTTTACATAATTTAACGGAGACATGCATTTTTATGCTATGCTTGTGAGTTCTGTCATGTGATGACCAAACTATTTACTTTTTACCATGCTATAGCTGCAAACTAAAAATGCTGAACTATAAACTAGAACATGGCAGGTACTCACAGAGCAGCAGGTCCTTCAAGACCACTGATGACTCCATCAAGTACAGCCAGGCCCTCGTCCAGGACAAATGATAGCTGCACACCACGCTGCTTCAGTACACGCACAATGCTCACTGCCCCATTGTAACCACCGACCTTTAAAAATAAATAGTGGACATTCAAATATGATATTTTACATCGTATTATTTTTTAAAAAGTATAAGCTAAAGTACCTCTTCATCATGACCAAGACTAACGTAAAATCCTCTGCGTGGAGCATAACCTTTTATCAGCAAGTACTCCAGTGCCTGAAGTATTCCCTGGAAGAAATAAAGCATATCATTTAGCCTGGTTGGCACATGAAAGGTAAATAAGTAAATAACTCAACTCTGTTTAACAGCAAGATCACACAAAATATCGCTTGTTCTCTCACCATTACAGGGCTCTTGTCATCTATGGTCCCTCTACCATAGATGAAGCCATCTATCTCTTTGGCAGAAAATGGTGGGGCCTCCCAGCCATCGGACTCTGAGGCAGGTACTACATCGATGTGGGCCAGCAGCAGGTATGGCACCAGGTCAGGCTGTGATCCTTGCACCCAAAACAGGTGGCTGTAGTTGGCCACCAATTCATGATGAACCAAGCTCGAAGAGAAAACTGTTGGGAAGGCTGACACAGGAAGAAGAGTACAAGTTTAAAGGGGGACCTGCCAATTTTACACATTCTCTCTAGCATCAGTTTTCTTTACCACAAAGCCTGTGTCAGCCTGTGTGTTAATCTGTCTCCTGTGGGTCCCTAAGACATTATAAAAAAACAATACTAAATTGCCCCCTTTAATTCTTCTTTAGAGAACAGACAAAGTGAACAATATATTGATCGACAAAATAAGTGGCAGAGTCATAGATAAAGAAAATAACTCTTATGCCATATTGCATATATTGCACCAATGCATATATTTGTGCTTTGGCGCACTGCTTATTAAATATATCACTTGGTTTGGAATATATAACAAACATGTCAGGTTTATACAGAAACCTGTATTAACGTTTAAGACGTCTGCTGACACCTGTAGAGAAATACAACTTTGATTGTAAATTGTACAAAACTTCTTTTAAAAATATGATGGCACGGCCCGGTGTCGTGATAAGGTAAGTTAGTGACCCCTGAAGTGTTTCAAGTCGACCATATCTTTGGTGAAATCGAGTCCACATCATAGACTGCAACTAAAGACGACTGAACGCATGCGCGCTCCCGCGGCCGGGGGTACACTTCCGATCAGGGGTAAATCCTTTGGCACGACACCTGTCACATCTGCGTAACGTTAGCACTCTATACACAATTAGCATCTGAAATAAATGTTACGTTAACATACACTGTTAAACGTTAACTTAGGGATAGTTAGCTTGAACTGCTCGGCGAATTCATGCCGTGTCACATTCTGGGGCCATTGTACAGTAAACTACATGGTAAACAAACTCGTGACTAACGTTAGGTAACGTTAGCTTATATAACGTTATAACATATATCAGTGTACCATATCTTTAACCAGCTTTACCTTTTCGGAGGAGCGTGTCAAATTCAAGCAGCGCCGTCAGGTTGCTCTCCGTCTCCGAGAATGACACCGTAGGGATCCGGATAGCCTCTCGATGAATTAATAGTTAACAAACAGTCTGTAAATCATTGGTGACTTCTCCACAATTATTTCAGCTAATTTCAGTTTAACCACTACCAAGCGAAAATTACCTTTAAAATGTGTAAGAAGCTCCTCTCTCTGATGGCGGTCTATGACAAGCGAGATGTTATTCGTCTTTTCCCAATGGGCGAGTTGATGATTTACATCCAGTGAAAGAGTCCTTATAGATGCTATAGTAAATAACAGCAGGACTGTAATAACGAAGCTACTAAACATTATTTTTAAAAACTTGAATATTTTGAACTTTGGCCCTGAGTCTGTCATTGTTGCTTGTTGTGACAGCGGAACTTGTTCACTGTGAGCAGACTGAATTAGATTAGCTCGAGACTGTGAAAAGTGGGCCACCTGCTGGCCTGTAAGCAAACAGTCACACATACTGTACGAATGAATAAATTAATGTTATCGAGAAGTTTGATCTACTGTACGTTCAAAATGGAACAAAATCAGCATTTTTAAATTTTACTCAAGAAATTTTTAGCAGATCATCATGTGTGTGGTGAAGGGTTGAGGGAAGAAGTACACGTATATGCTCGAATGTTTTACTTAGTGTATGTTTTGTGTGTTTTACATTTGTAATTTTAAAAGCCCTTCCGGGGATGGGCATTGGAAATCGGCAGTAAATGCTGTGATGCATTGCACTAGAATTTTTTTGTTCAATTCTCTATATTTATAGCATCTGAAAGCACCTTCTTCATGACATTTAGTAAAAGTGGATTTTACTATATTAAAGATCCTACTGATTTGTCAGATACTATTCAGTTGCACAAAAAACAGCAAAACATCCTTTATTGAAAAATAGTTTATATAAAAACAAACAAGTACAGTGTCAATGATTCTTTGAAAAGACAATATAAGAATTTAGGTTAAAATTACAGCATTCGCATTATATTTAAATTTGAGAACATCTATATCCCTTTAAAATCTTAACTGAAGCTCTGTAGTGTGGTAACATATCCATAAGCAAAACATACAAAATGTGAAACTGGACTTTGAGGTTTGCTCCCATACAGACACAAACAGTAAACAACAAAATAAAGTGTTTAAAGTAATATGCTGCCTGAAGATATCCCAGGACAATATCGTAATTGCTTGTATCAACAAAAATACAACCCTGACACATTCATGTCAATGTACAGGATTAAAAAACCCATAGTTACTCCTGTCCAGAAAGCACTGGTGTGTCTTCTTATGTCTCAGCTTGAAGCAAAAGCCCCTCCTCACCATCCAACTCCTGGTTTTGACCATCCAGTAAAGCCACAATCTGACTGAATGAGTTGTCCTCAACACAAACATAAATGATGTACAGGAGACACGCCCCAATGAGGAAGACCAAAATCTGTATATGGATGGGCACAAGGCAGCGCTCTACCTCTCGTCTCTCCAGGGTCATGGGACTGGCAGGAGTGTCTGGGTATGCATACTGGATAGGTCTTCCTGCTGCACCCTTGATGGGTCTCCGACGAGTGACACTGAAATACAACGGGTTTTATGTGCCAATTATCGAATCACAAAACACCTACAATGGGTTGGTATGTGCTACTAAGCAAGTTGTCCATGTGTCACCCATCACGATTCAAATTCCAATAAATTTCTTGTACTTTGTTGAAATCTAAATCCAAGTTTGTAATTTCCGTACTGCAAGTGTTGTATGGCACTTACTAGATCCCTATTGGTGTGGCCTCAGTGTCTGGAAACATGTCCTTGAAAATATCGGGCTCCGGAGAAAGCTAAAAAAACAAAAGTAAGAAATTACTAAACGAGGTGGACCAGATAAATATATCTCAGACAGCAGGATCCCACAGAGACAGTCAGGAAGAAATTAAGGAAATTTGGTGATTGTTAATGTAATGACCAGAAATCTGACACACACACACAAAAATATTAAAATAGTGTAACTGTTATGGTTAGCATATAATTTCCAGTTGGGGTAACACAGTAACTGACATTAAAGTTACAAAATGTGTTCTTGTGGACGAGGCACATACCACCCTATGAAGTGATATGGAACAAAACAGAAAAATTAAAAGCCAGCAAGAAGAGGTATGTGCCTTCATGCCGCATTTAGTATGCCTTGGGAGTAGTACAGAGACTGATTATTCATGGTGTCCATAATTGGCACGTCCAGCTAAAGAAAAGGAGACATAACCAATTACGATACACTTGACTTACCTCCAGTTAAACCTCTCAAACACTGTAACGACCAAAATATAAGCTCAGAATGTGGCTCAACAACCCGAGCACTACTGACCGTGTTGGACCGCGACCAATGCTGCTGCACATTGCTCCCATTCAACTCTCTCTCAGTGTGTGCGCTAGTAGAGAGTGACCCACGACTGTCCATCTGTTGTTTAGAGCGACAATGTACGTTACTGAGTGAGCACTCTGGCAGGGATTTCTCACAACACAATATAAAAAGAAATGACAGGGTCATTTGTAAAGATGTGAATTGCGGGTTTAAAAACATGTGGGATTAACTTTCCTGCTCAACCATTTGAGTGATGCTGAAGGCCTGAGAGGAAAATGATGAGCAAGCACTGGGTATAACTGATTGTGATCCTGATGCAACCTGCATGGATTGGTATTATTGGCATGTTAACATCAATACAAACATCATTCGTCACACAGTCTAAACACCAGTGAGATACCAATTCCCATCACTGAAAAAAAACAAAAAAAATATCCCATTAGTGGCTTTAGAAGGACACACAATAGAGTTAGACAGTCTAAGTAAGGAATGCAGAGAATTTAAAATCCACAAGAGAAGTGAAATAAGACCAGCCTACCCCTGATCCTAATCCTGATCGTTGATCTACAGAGGATGCTCTACTAATTCCTATGGGAATCTGTGAGCTGTGAGGCCGACTCCGCTCTGATGTTTTTACCACATTCCCTGAATTCCACTTGGGACTAGGTTCCCTGTTTCTAGAAGTATGAGCACGCTACAAAAGACCAACCCAATCAAAAACAGAAAAAAACGAAACACATCAGTATCCCATGAAAAATCAATTCACAGGATTTTGTAAAAACGATGTGAATATCTGTAGTATTTACCAGCCTTGACGAGAGTAAAAAGCACTGCGGGTAAACAAAACCATTCTGACAATACAACTCTTCCTGTGAAAAAAAACAAACAAAAAAACCCCACCTCACTCAAAATGCAAGAGCTTATTCAAAGTTATTATGCAAAGAGTGAAGGCTTCCATTTAGAAACAAATTTTACACTTGCAATCTGTAACCACTAAGTGGCACTGTAGGGAATATATATTTCAATACAGCTAGTAGTGGCAAAAACATAAAGGACAATATAAAGCAACCAGCAACATTAAATAGGCAGTGCAAGCTCCCTAATTCAAGAGCTACTATTCATTTAACTAAAGAAATCAAGAACTTCCTACAATTTTCTCACCTGGCTACCCTCTTGTTGGGCCTGGTCTGACTGTTCAACTCTTTCTTCAGAACCTGTACAAGTCACAGAAAAATACAAAAGCATATCATCTGATACCTAACAAAATAAAAATAAAATCAGCAGCATTTTTGTAAATACCTGACTCTTCATGCCCTTCACCATTTTCCTCCTCTTCATCACTGTCAGAGTACAATATACTTTTCTCTGCTCCATTCAGACAGCTGTGTCCATCAGACTGAAGTAGTTTCCTGAGCTTCTTCTCATACAAGGCCCTGGTGGAGGCTGGCATAGACAAACAATCCTTTAGTAATTAAGACAGGCCTAAAAATAGAGTGATGGGTCTTCACATTCATTAAAACACAACAGGAATCCCATTTCTACAATGGAAACCAGTTTCAAGACATTGTTAAGTGCATCCTCACCCACTATGGGCCCAGCTTTAACTCCGTGTGTGAGAAGTGCAGCCTTGAGTTCATCATCAGTCAAACCACTCGGGTCGGGCATGTCTGAATCCTCTGGATCCTCATCCTAACAAAACAAACAACATTTGCTGAATTTAGACAAAGGCTGCAGCTTGAATGGCAGTAGTTGCCAGGTGTGGGATATAGAGCATAAACAGCTGGAGGCTGCAGTTCACAAATCTGTTCAAAATTCATCTAATTTAGTTAGATGAATTTTCTAATTTTTACATTTACCTGTTCTGAAAAAGCACAGAAGAATAGGTAAAAACAAGTAAAAGGTTTATTGTAGAGCCCGTGTTATCAGTTCATACTGGCTTATAAGATATCAACTGGCAGATAACTACAACAGGTTTATTGTTCAACTGTAAAGCACTCTGCTTATCTCTGTCACTCCTCAAAACTTTGATCCTCTGAAAAACTCTGCAACTAAACATTATTTCTGATCATTATATTCAGGAAATTATAATTGACAGGCTGGAACCAGCAAAAGTTTTGCATGATAAATTGAGAAAAACCTTTAAACGAATATCAAAATCAGTTGTTAATATCCTTGACTAATTAAATAATCATTCATATATTAGTATTGGGTCTAGAGTGAAAATCTTTAACACAGTCTGTCCAAACAGTCCTCCTTCCCCATGAAACAGCACAGAAACAACTTCCAGTGCTCTTCCTGGCACACATATGGTAAGTGAGTGGGACAGGTGTGGCAAGCACATGCACACAAATATAATGGCGACCTAACTACAGAAACGTCTCATGTAAATCTATACCAGCTATCTACAGCTGGTGACGGACCATATATGTTACAGCAAACTGAGAGGACTATTTGGTAGCCAGTGACCCAAATCTACCCCTCCTCCCCTCCACAGCTGCTAACCTTGCACAGCATCGGTTTAATTCAGCCCAGGCCAATCAATATTATGCAAACGACCCTTCACTATCAAATAAAATTGTTTATGTCCTTGAAGGCAGCATTGTTGACAAGTATTTTACCAGGCAACATATTAGTAAAGATGTCAAATTACATTCTGGGGGCAATTTCTCAAATATGTCAAGTAAAGTTAAGTAGACAAGTAGTTTTGTCACATCTGCTATTTCAAATTAGACTGATCACGCAGTGATTGCACTCAGTAGGCTGATATATTAAGTTACAGCAAGTTGTTATTGAGGGCAGAGCGCTTAATTCCGCAAAAGCCAATCATAAAAAGTATTCTGGCGCAAAACACAAGAACTTTGATCAACTCACTGCCACAACTTGTACTCGATCCTCCTCATCGCTAGAAAAATCCGCTGCGTTTTTCTGATCAACGTGTTTTAAGTGCAGTTCGACGTAAACGTCCTTTGTGCTCTTGGCAGGTGGCAGCACGACATTATGAGAAACTAAATCTGACTTCAGTCTAGATTTAGAGAGATGAGCTGGGTCCTCCTTAAAAAGCGGCATATCACAAGGACACGAAAATGAAAAATAGTCCAACTTCAGTGCTTAGTTGCTTTGTATATTGGTATAAAAACGTCTCTGAAGTCAGATGTACCCAACAGAGCAGCTCGGAGAAACCGTCCGCATGTGGTCTAAAAATCGCACTAACTTAACTGAGAACAGCTGCAACTGACGACTTGATTGACACCCGGCAGCTAGCTTAACATACCACTAGTGAGTAGTAAACATACAGCACAGCGCCACAAGCTTAGCTAGCTTGGAAGTTCATTACATTTTAAATGAAACCTAAGAACTTTTTATTAAATGAAGATTATCTTTAAAATGAAGAACTGAAAAGGCATGTGTGGCTTATTGGTTTTTGGCTTGTAATATTAACCTAGTTAATTAACATTAGCTAAATTACCTGAATGCATTTATTGTCGTAGCTAAAGTAACCGTTTTCAACCCTGGTTATGGATATGGAAGTTAAGAGCTGCCGATGTTAAAATAAATAATTTAATCAAATTAAATCCGGTTAAATTAAATTGTCTGATTTTAATAGGCTTCTTTTTTTTACAGTGGACGTTTTTACTTTTTATAGAGGGAAATGCACAGTAACAATGTCTCTGTTGTATTCAGGTATCCCAGTAAGCCATGAGAGTGTGACAGTAAACCAGAAAGAACAATGCCAGGACTCTAAAACCGAAGCAGCTAAATGGAATTCAGCCATCATTATTATTATTTACACTTGGGCTTTTCCTACTGCCACATGGCAAAATGCCCTCTGTGAAAAGACCTGTTAGTTACAGTGGAGTTATACAGTGGAGTTTTAAGTGCAAATTCTTCCTGTCTAAAAATTGTATACCTTTGACCTCCAGGTTTGTCCCAGGCTTTGGTTGTCGTTGGTTTCGTGGTGTCTCTGTTGCACGCTGCTGATGCATATTTACTCAAGTTATGCATCCACCTAGTGCATGCAGAAATGGTGAGTAGTTCCTTTTGTAACACCTGTTAACAGATAAAAAAAACACTTGTTTAGTTGTTTGTAAAGGGGGTGCCAAATGTGCCACAAGGACTGCTTCCAACCAAACACCTACAGCAGGCATCTCTTCGATCAAGCATGTTCATTATCTGAAAAACTTACTGTGAAAATCAGCATTCAGTGGTCAAGAAAACAAATCAGTAAACCTGATTCTTGGAACAGGACTCTGGCACTTTCAAAGATTTTATCAACTCAACAACCGCTGGCCCCTGAATAGCTGGTACTAGAGCTAATGCTGCGTTCCAGGCAACTCAGAACTGGGAAATTTCCGACCTCCAACTAGAAAAACTACCCTGGACCGCCACCTGAAGTCGGATTTCCTACTTGTGAACTCGGAGAAAAAATATATACCCCGAGTTCACGAGTAGCAGCTGAATTACATCACAAAACAATGTCAGCGCCCATGGAAGCACACATTGTAAATGGTAAACCATAAACTAAAAAGCAACAAAAAGTATATTTGCATGTATTTAAATTAAAATAATACATACGGTCATATAGTAAAACCTGTTCTGCATGTACACTGATGTAGAAATATATTAGGCCTGTTAGGTAGTTGGCTACAGTAAAGAATCTCATAAAGTCATCTCTGCATAAAAGTTATTGTTAAAAATGCCAAAACATTAGGAAGTCAACATTGATTGACTAACGACCTTGAGGGTTACCAACTGATGTAGCTAGGGGTGTACACAGAACTAGTAACGTATAGACTATTTATGTCAGTTGTTGCAGTTAAACTGCCATCCTTTTCATTAACACCTAAAACACTACTGAGGGTGCAACTGTGTGTACACTTTGTCATGGTCAGCCATGGTTTTCGTTCACTTTCGGTGTCATGCACCACCATGCACCTGGAACGCATTGAGGTCGGAAGTCGGAAGTTTCAACTGGAAAATATATCAGTTCCAACCGGTCTCAAAGGCGGCATAAGTGACTAGAGCTGGCAGTTGGCATTAGCAAATGGTCCCTTCCTGTTTTTGCTTTTCACTGGCTGCAATTTATTATCAAATGTATTTATCTTTTCTTCTTACTTAAAACAATTTTTAATTCCATATAGGACATCAAATAGTCTATGGCATACAAGTATACTAGTACTCTTTTTCTGCGTTCCTAGAATTTCTAAAGAAATTGATAGACGTGCCTTTAAATGTAAAGCTCCATCTGATTGATTGAATCAACCTGCCAGTTCACTTAGATCTATCACCTCCTTTCATTTCTTTAAGGCATTTATTTTTACTCATCTTCAAACAGCCTGCTCTTGCTACCACTTGCTTACCACTATGCTGTTTACTGTTAGATTGTACTATTTTTAGATTGGATCAATACATTGTGATTGTGAGAAAACAACATTTATTTTCTGTGAGGATTTTATAGGGGCGAGGGGATTTAAATGGTTTGGTTGGGATTCTTCTTTTTTTTAAACTTTTATTTATTCAGGGTTTCACTGAGAGCAACCTCTCATTTGCAGGAAGGCCCTGATCACATTCACACTGATTTATCAGTTTTAGTGTTTAATTTGATTATTTTAAATGTCCAGTTTGAATGTTAATATATTTTTCCACTTCATTATGAAGGACAATGGTAGCTTAAAGGTTAGAGAAGCAAGCTTGTGAGCAGGAGGTTGTTGATTCAATCCCCTTACTCCCTGAGGTGCCCTTGGGCAAGGCCCTTAACCCCAAACGCTACAGTGGAGCTACTCACTGGCCAGCAGATCATATTTTCTTGTGCAGAATCTCCCTGATTAAACAGGGCACTTTTTAATATTGATCCACAGTGTTGTACTTGTAAATGGATATAAACAATGCTGGATATCAATACTCTCCAAATATTTTATGATTAAGGAAATGCATTTAACACATATGTTAGCAAATCACATTGTATATGTATACTTATATGTATACTTGTATCATTGATCTCTGAGTATTATGAACGTGAACATCACTTTTGTTTGTTTACAAAATAAACTCCACAGGGGACCTTTAAACTCACCCAACCAGAACATCCGTCATCAACCGCTTATCCTGTGTACACCCTGGACAGGTCGCCAGTCCATCGCAGGGCCACAAATAGTCAGACAACCACTCACACTCACATTCACACCTAAGGACAATTTAGAGACACCACTTCACCTAGCCTGCATGTCTTTGGATGGTGGTAGGAAGCCGGAGCACCCAGAGAGAACCCACACGAACACGGGGAGAACATGCAACCGGGGTTTGAACCCACGACCTTCTTGCTGTGAGGCGACACTGCTAACCATGTATCACCATGCCGCCCTCCAATCAGAACATTACTGTTAAAATTAGTGAAATATGGTGTTTATATTGTGTTGTGTGTTAATATATATATATATTTGTTGGTCTTGTTGTTTTACTGTTACGGTGTTGAACATCAAAGTAAAAATACAGTAGATTTAATTTTAGGATTGTAACATTAAACATTAAGACACAGTCATAGATTTTATTCGAAAAGAAATACGAAAAGAGCTTACAGATAATATAAAAGTTTCATATCAAAATCATAACAGTGGTCTAAGCCTAGACTTGCTCATATTTGCTTCAGAATTTAAAGTCAGGAGATTATTCAATAGAGTTAATGCATTCAGAAGGCTGAATGCTCACAGAATCCTTTTGAAAAATCTACTCAACAGGGAGGTGGCAAGAACCATAAGAGGCCACATTTGAAGGGGTTTTTACAATGGCCCAGCTGGCTTAGGTGCACACCATGTGTCCGTGATGATACAGTTTAAATGTTTAATCTTGTTGCATGGTAGGCAAGGCTTTTGGCCTCCTTCACAATAGATCAATGATAATATTAAAAATAATATTTACCTTTGAATGGTCAGTTCTAGCACTAAATAAAGCGAAAAACACTAAAGTACAAAAGATTGGTCATTCATGAATGTAAATTATTCATTAAACAAATGCTGACTGATATTATATAGTTATAGTTATAGCACTGCTGCAGGTCAGCACATAATATTTGCCTAAATTTTGATCCCACTTCACTTTCATTTAATGACAACCATGATGCATACTGAATGACTTTTTTCTTTCTGGTCACTAGAAATTAGACAAATGAACAAAGTAAACAAAATTAATAAAAACTTTACTTCTTTTTCAAGTTATAACCTGATTCCAAAAGAGAGGCCAATAACTGGATCCACATATTTATGTTTATAGTTATAAAGTGTTCTTGGTTGGACTGGCTACAGGCAAAGAAAGTTTATCCCTAGGAAGGAATTAATTAATTAATGATGATGTAAATCATCTTTTTTCACCTCCTGAGTATGAACATTTTATTTTTATATAGATATCACAACTGTGGCATAAAATGCTTTTCATGTTCCTAGTCTTCACATGTCACTATCATGTCATCACTGTAAAATAATTTTCTCTAATTTTTCACCTAATCTTTTTTTTTTTAAGTGATTTTTAGAGCTTTATCTTTTTAAAGAAAAAAAATCTTGAACTTCCACTTTAAAATAACAGGTGGCGTGGAATCTCTTAAACACATCTCTGAATGCACTGAGTTGTTACTTTCACAGTAAGTTTCACATTTGTAAGTAACAGTAACAAGTAACAGCTGACAGCAACAGGAAAATAACTTCATTACCTTGACCATCCGCTATGTCACAACTTGTATGAAAACAGTCATTTCCTAAAACATCTTCAGGAAAATAACTAATGTTTGCCCCAACTCAAAATATCTGTATTTGCCCCACTACTCCAAAGGTTTTATGCAAGTCAAGATGCATAATGTGGATGCTGTAGGCTACAGCTTTGTTGATGCCATTGCATAAGATTTTAGATACTACAAATAGCTGGGCTGGACAAAATGCCACCCAAGCTAAAACAAAAATGATTATTACACTATATTTTTGGATTCCTATTTTCGGTGACTTTGTTTCTCATGTTAAATATTAAGTCAAAACACCATAAAACAGAGTTCTTAAGTTGACTGTCCACTGTGTATCCAATGGCTTTGAACCCTACATGACATGTTAGAAAGAACTCA